GGGGGTAGGGGTGCTGTGTGTGTTGTGGGGTTGCTGTGTGGTGGGGTAGGGCTGCTGTGTGTGGGGGTAGGGGTGGGGATGGAAGCTGGGTGTAGAGGAGGGAGGGAAGCTGGGTGTGGGGAGGGAGGGATGCTGGGGTAGGGGTGCTGGGGGTAGGCGTGCTGTGGGGGTAGGGGTACTCTGTGTGGGGGAGGGCGATGCTTGGTGGGTAGGGGTGCTGGGGGGGTAGGGGTGCTGTGGGGGTACTGTGTGTGGGGGGGTAGGGGTAAAGGTGTTTTAAAAAAAAAAATAAGTATGCTAAATCAGTATCGCCCCCCTCCATCCTTCTTACCTTTAATGAAGGAGGGGGGGGGACAGCCAACCCTGGTGGTCCAGTGGTGGTAAGTACCGTGGAGGCGGAGCCAAACTGGATGCGGGGGCGGATCTACAGCCATCCTCCATTTGCTGCCTTTCACTGCAGCACACTGAGGGGGAAGCAGGAAGGAGTCCATGCTTCCCAAACTCCAACACACCAGGGACTCACTGACTCCACTCCTCCACCAGAGAGAGAGAGAGAGAGAGAGAGAGAGAGAGAGAGTGTGTGTGTGTATAAGACTGCTTGTGACTGTCTGCCTGTGTGTGTGAATGTCTGCCTTTGACCATCTGTGACTGTGTGTATGTCTGCCTGTGACGGTCTACGTGTGACTGTGTCTGTGACTGTCTACCTGTGACTCTCTGCCTGTGACTGCGTCTATCACTGTCTGACTGTGACTGTCTATGCCTGTGAATGTCTGCCTGTGAAAGTTTACCTGGGACTGACTGTGACTGTCTTTTTGTGACTGTGCGTGAGACTGACTTTTGGTGACTGTGTGTGTGACTGTCTGCCTGTGCCTGTATGTATGAATGTCTGCCTGTGATTGTCTACCTGGGACTGTGTATGACTGTCTGCCTGTGACTGTGTGTGACTGTCTGCATGTCATTGAGTGTGTGTGATTGTGTGCTGCCTGTAACTATGTTACAGTTTGCCTGTACTTGTGTGTGTGTGTGACTGTCTGCCTGTAGCTGTGTGTGTGTGACTGTCTGTCTGTAACTGTGTGTGTTACTGTCTACCTGCAGCTGTGCGTTTGACATTGTGCAAGTGACTGTGTTTGGTACGGTGTGCATGTGGCTGTATTTGACAGTATATGCGTATAACTGTGTACATCTGTGTCTGACTGTCTTCGCCCTGCAGTGAGTCGGCATATAACATCATCCAAGCATCGGCGTCATATTACAGGATGTGCAAGGGACGTGTGCATGAAGAGCACAACCACTGACTATCAGGGACTGAGGATCCACTCTAGCCCTCCCAGAGCAAGATAGGGAGGCTGGGTGGACCTCTTAATTATTAAATGTGTGTATGTATGTGATGTTTGCGTGTGTATATCTAATTATGTGTGTTTGTAATTGTATGTGTGCGGGTCTGTGATTGTGTATGTCTGTGTTTATGTGTGTGATTGTGTGTGTGTGTATATATATATATATATATATATATATATATATATACACACAAACACACACACACACACTTAACCTGCGTGTGTGAGCTTTGTGGCTCCCGCCACCCTGTGCAGCCACACAGCTCACAGAGTCACAAGCCTGGCCAGCCCTGGAGGCAGTTGTAGTTAAGTAGCACATATATAGTGAAAAATGTATTCATACTTACCGTAATTTTCTTTTCCTGGCTATTATTCATGGCAGCATATACACATGGGTTAGCTCCTCCCCTACAGCCGATAGGACAGGAAAACCACCAAGGTTTTAAAAGGAGGCTCCATCCCTAAGGTCCTCAGTCAGTTTACCAGCTCTACAGTACATAAATAGACACATTAATGGGTGGGAAGTATATTCTGCCATGAATAATAGCCAGGAAAAGAAAATTACGGTAAGTATGAATAAATTTTCCACTAACCTGGCTAATCATGGCAGCATATACACATAGGGAATACCCAAGCTTACAAAGGGAGGGACAGAATAGCCAATCAAATTATCAGAATAATTCAACGTAGATAGAAGAATTAACTGAATTACGTGCTTGAGTACCAAATTGTGCATCATAGACTATTTTAACGAACAGCATGAAATGCCAGACAAACGAGTCTAAAGAGGTTCAAATGCTAGCTTACAAAAAGTGTCAGCAGAAACCATTGCCATGGCAACCCATGATGCTGCAACAGCATGAGAGGAGAGTGCCCTGATACCCTCCAGCACAGGTAGAGAATGGACGTGA